TCGCGTGATTTCTTCTTCATTTTTCTACTTGGCGAAAGGAACCCAGTGAAAAGACACTCGACTCGGTGCGCGTGCCGAAGCGCAGAAATTGGGAACTTTTCCGACAAAGATAAAAGATTGGAAGAAACATAAACAAACATTAAAATCTTACCTTACATTGTCCTTTTAACATGAACAAGTGGTAGGCAAAATCTTGAGTACACAACAACGAATTATAACCATGTACACTGTAGCAGTCGAGAAAACCGGTGAGCGACTCCGACTACAAAAAATGTTATGTTTACATTTTTAAAACTCGCGCAAACTTTGATGCACTGCATTATGGGAAGGACTTCCAGCCCTCTGGACAGGAAGAGTGGAACACCACGACGCGAAGAGCAATTTTCCATGGGATTAAGAAGCTACGACACGAAATTTAACGATCGGTTTTGTCCCCAATCTGTCGCCATTGTTGTTGCTGCCCTACATGCCAGCCGGCATAATGGGCATGAGTGAACAAAAAAAGAAAAAAACATGAATGGACAGACTACTTGCTAAACCCACAATGTTCTCAATGATAAAAGCAATATTGATTAAAGTTACCTGAAACTCCAACTTGGTGTGTAGCATAAGGTGGTACTTTACTTTGCCTCCCTGGAAGCCATTTTAACAGCATGGCATAGTCACCAACAGCATGATGGTAACTGAAGCCATGATTAAATGCCACAGGTATCAGGTTACTCTGAGCAGTTGGTACTTTCATCCACACTGATTTTTTTGTAACCCTTTTCCAGTGTAGAATACTATCTGAATGACATGCAGTGTGCAATATAATCCAAGTTAATATTGCCACTGTAAAATAACATTAAAAACTAAACACCTAACTTTGCATTTCTTCATGTCACCCATTTCCCATCCTGCCAGGCCATCCCACTTTTGTATAGACCAGCAGGAGTAGTAGACTTGAAATCAATGGATCTTCAGAGAGTCTTCAGAGCTACTTTACAAACCAGTGAATTTGATTGTTAAATAATTGATAGTTACACATGAAGAAGGTGACATGGCTCAGTGGTTAGGGTGCCGAATTTGTTATCTGGGGGTCTCAGGTTCAAATCCGCCCCTCCGTGTCCTGTCAAAAGCTCACTGGTCAGCATCCAACCAGCATGGTTTTTAAAAACTTTTTGAACAGTATTATTAACAATATTTCCTTCTTCATATATAGTATCTCTAATTAGCACAGCAGTGCTAAATACCGTGACACCTAAAAAAATATTTATTTTTAATTTGTTATGTGACAAAGAATCATAGCAGCATGAGATTAAAGAGAATGGCTGGCACAACATGACTCTACGGAATGCCGTGTGTCTTAAATTTATTACAAGTTTTGTTCTTTTACAGAACGTGAACTTACCATTTAACCTCGTAGAAAACTCATCAAGGTTAGGGTTGTCTTCAAGCTGACTCAAATTCACCTCCATTCCGTTTCCCCCCTTTTCAGAGATGATCTTACAGGAGAACTGTGTTCATATCGACAGAAGTAAAGTGCTCTGCCAGTGTTGTTAACATATCTCCTAAACATGGCTAGCATGAAGGTAGTTTTGTAACAAAAAACTCTAAATATTACCCATACAGAAATTTCTACTCAATACTCGTCCGCCATTTTGAATTTTGTAGATTGACCGCTGGACTTTGAGTACCGGCGATTTTGATCGTCACTCAGGGGTCTGGCAGATGGCGGATGACGGATGGCGGATGACAAAATGCGGATGGAAAAAGGCACATGGAAAAATGAGGATGGAAAA